ATCCCTGTTTCCCAGGAGGGCTGCTTCCAGCTGCTGCTCCATGTTTCTAACAATCAAATGGATCAATTCTGAAGACACCTCAAGTCTGTGTGTTAAGCAAGAATGATGTTTGTGGTGTGTGTTGGGTAGGGAAGGAGGTGGTGGGAAAAGAGACATTTCACTCACCAGGGAAGTTGATGTCATTTCTGTTTTAAACACTGGACATTTATTTAGAATCTTTAGAGCCCATACATTATTGAATAATTTTAATTTATCACATTCAAATATATTAGGCAAATATATAATACAATAAATTGCATTTGTACACATAAATACAAAATTTGAGGTAGGGCCTCAAGAATAATGATTTGTGAAATTAAAAACATACAGCAACATAATATGTACTACATGAGATACATACGATGCATTCTTTGTAACAATATATCTTTTGCACATACAGCGAATGAAAAAAATGTAGTGATCGGTTAGGGTACAAATCTTTATCCATAGGCAGCAGTACCCCATAGAATGCCTGTAAATATATATATATATATATTTATATATGACATTACGCAAGTAATTAAGATTTAACCCATCAGCGATGGGTCCGTAATAAAGTGCCATAGGACACAGGGAGCAAATTCTCAGCTGGTGTAAATTGTCACAGCTCCAGACAAAGCCCTGACAATTTATACCAGCCAAGTATCTACCTTACAAGGTAATACCACATAATATAAAGGACAGAGAACAACATGTTTTAGTCAATTTTACTAACAATGGAAGATAGCTATAAGGCAAATGGTTACCTGAAGATGTATTTAAATGCTATGGGCAAATAAAATATTGCAAGCATTAAGATCCAACCTAGTTCTCACATTATATAAACCCCTCAGGAAAGCCTTCTCTCTTTGGTGATAGCCCTCCTGCCTCAAGGCACCCACCTGAGCCCCGCAGTAATATCAAGCTCTGACCATTTTCAGGTACCTTATGTGCACACCACCTAACTGCAAACCAAGAAACAAGTGTCTCTGACAGCAGCAGAAGCTTTCTGGGACACCTCTGGTCAAAAAGCTCTGCTGCCTGCAGCCCACAGCCCCTACAAGCCTGCCCTTGATTGCACGAAGAAGTGGAGCTGCAGAATAAGAAACCAACAGGAGAACAATGACTGCTATACATAAACATTTCTTTCACACAGGCAAAAATAAATCGTATTATCCAAATAACCGTACACAATAAAAAGAGCAGAGGTATTTAAAATCAATCGGGTGTTGGGATTTGATGGTAAGAGATAGTCACACAGTGTATCAGAAGCAATGATCTTCAGTGTGGAGGCACGTCTAATGTGGTCATTGGAGCAGAAATGAACCAAAAGACTACTTGGACTCAATTGAAACATCATATAAAGACAATCCAAGTCTTTCTCAATTAAAGGTCATTTTGTTAAACCCTTCCTTTGGAAACAAAGTGCTGCCTTGTCTAGCTGAAACATAGGTTTTGAACATTGCATATTTAAAAACACTGGGATGACCCCAAAGAATTTGAAGATGGCAAGCATTTGCATTAGGTATAATCTTTAATGCATCTCAGCTCATCCAGAAATTCAATTTAATTTCAAAGAAAAAATATGCGGCATAGTTTCACTAAATTTAAACATTTTTTACTCACAAGATAGATCTGAAAGTACATACATCACATTTTTTACTAATATGGCTTTTTCCCCTCCATTTTTTTTCTTTTAAAGATCTTTACTGTTATGCTATTAGTTACTAAATTTATTTTTAGAAAATTATCAAAGTACATGCAAACTTTTGTTAGAACATGATAAGTGAAGTGCATTCCCAAACTTCAAGGTAACTTCTCATTTAAAGAAGACACTGCTGGTTAATTTAATCTCAATTTTCAGAGTTGGACAGTAAAATAATTTAGAAAAAATCTCATGTGACCAAAATAAAACCCTGCCTTTCACATATAGTGAAAACTTCACATCTTCTGTGATTTTTCTATGCATTTCTCCCCTTTTCCAAAATTTTTTGCAAGCTTAGCAATGGGGTCAAAGCTGAAGACAAAGATCAGCTAGTAAAAAAATCACAAACATCTGTTTACAGAGTTTCAAATTCAAGCCTAATCCTGTGCTAATGACTTAGCAGGCACAGGAACAACATCTAAATTAAAAGCAAGGAGATTAATTGCTTAAATCATGGAAAGCAATTCAGCTGCAATTTCATATGCAGTCTGGTTTGGTAATCCAAGCCAAAAGATATCATATCCCAGCAGCATTCCTTCCAATGATCTCTGTTTCATAATTCAGGTGGGCAGCAGCTCACATCCTTGCACTGAGGGAACTCTGCATTTAATGTGCAATCCCAGTCCCAAGGCATGCCCTGGGACAAGCCAGCAAGTGGAAGGATTCAGTGCTCTCACACCATTCGACTGCGAAAGAGGACCAAACATACAGATAGATCTTGTTGTTTTTGAATTACAGTAGTAGCAAAGGCCAACTGGCTTGGACTCCAAAAATCAAACCAAAACGCGAGGGAATATTGGTTAAGAGTGATTTATCCCAATAGAAACACATAATTCCCAAGACAGATGCTGACTTAGGTTCCCTTTTGCACCCAGAGAAGGTCCCTCAGCCCTACCTAGATGTGGAAACCAAATTTCCAGCTCATCCCTATGGACATTCATGAGGCCAAACAGTGCACAGCTTCTCGAACTTGCCTCTGTCAGGAAACTAAAAGCCAGAAGTAAAAATAGCAAGTCTTTTTTTAAAATAGCAGGCAAAGCTGAAGCAAGGGGAACAGCTTTAAGGCAGAGAAGCTCACAGGAGGGTCCCGTCCTGCTGCTGAGTGAGACAGGGACCAACAAGAGCCCATGGAGTAGAAATATTGCAGAACCTGCCCTCCCTGGCCTGCATGACAACCCCTGGTAGTGCTTCACTTGTTCTGTGTGAGGATTAAAGATCTCCAGCAGTGCCTAGAACTGGCAACACTAATTGCCCCGTGAAAGAGGAAGTTCAGCAAAATGATTAATATATTTCATATACATATATATATACACACACACACAGAGAAAAGGAGTTAACAACGTGTGGAAGGGGTACTTTAAGGTTTAGCTTTTGGTTTTCTTCAACAGGATGAAAACAGCACACCTACTGATCTACGGACACACATGAACTGAGGATTTACCTGAGACCCTGTAATATGAAGACAGACAGACAAAAAAACAGGATAGAAACAGTCCCCTGAAAGGAAAGAACATTTACAGGCTACTACAGCAGTGTCTGTGGGGAGGAAAAAACTGGCTAAACTACGAAGCTCATTATTTCTACATTGATTGGTAAGATATTTATAGGGACATAAAGCATCACTAGCACACACTACATGAACACTGATCACCATTAAAAAATATCATATATGTATGTATAGGATATAACAAGGTAATAAAGGTTAAGTTTTGCCAATTATTGAAGATATATTTTTCTCCCTCATTCTAGTGCATTTACAATAATTTGGGCTAATTTTCTATTTAGGTAAATAAATGTACTCTTTAAAAGCTCTATTTTTTACTCTGTCCAATAGGTTACAAAACTATTTAAGTCTAATATTCATATGATTGCATATATCTGATTTCTAAAATGTAATGATTTAGGATGCCCTACTGCTATGCAATGCTATGATGGCCCTCTACTAAATTGTCCTTTCACCCCAACCTTTGCATTTTCTATATCTAATGTTGCATCTGTGCAGATGACTGCGGTGGTTAATTTTTGTGGATTTGGGTATTTTTATTTAATGAAAATGTTTTAATGAAAAAAATACCCTATGCAAGTTTCAGAGAGAATACTGCTTTGAAGAATTTACGTGCTATATATATAATATATAGACAAGTGGGGTCCTGCTATTTCCCCATTGGTTGAAAGAGAAGAATACACCAGCTAAAGGTTATAGGTTATATAAAGGTGCTTATAGGCAAATGAACGGGGAGTCACAAGTTGAACAGCACATTCAATAACTGTTTTCAGATGGTAACTAGACTACACTTACCACTGTAGGAATACAAAGTTAGGCACAAATTATATGATGGCTTTTTGAGGAGATACTGTAAACAAAAGCAGAGAAACAAGGAAAAATATATTCAGAGTATTAGAGTGAGGTGAGTAAAACCACAGGTGCACTTGGCGTGGAACAGGTTGTCAGATACTTTGTATAGCTGAGGCATTCCTAGTTGAGATGACAGATATCAAATTATCAAAAAAAAACATACGACAGGATTTTAAACAGTGATGCCCATACAGCTCATTCTGACACCATTTCCAAACCACTTCTAGACTTGAATGCAGTTTAGTCTCTCAGTTGATCATTTTTAAAAACTTTGTTCTTATTTTTCTACAGATGGATTATTGTCGTTTCTGTTGTCACCCCATATATTGCTTCCTGGTGTGCTGTCCCAAGGGTCTCCACACGTTTAAATAACATAACAATCCCTCCAAGTTAGTATAAATCATAAAGGAAGTGTGCAGACATGATGGGTCAAGGTTGGCTGCCAGTGTAGAAGAAGCTACAAGAGCCTTATGCTGGATTTATATCAGGACTACAGGAGATCCCATTCTTTGCTCACTTCCATCACCTTTGAGGGATGAACTTTTCTTGGAACACACTGGTAGCAAAATCCTAGTCCCACCAGAGCTACCTGTTACAAAGGGTGCTGGTGGGAAGTGGGTCAAACTAAGTGGGTCGTTTCATCTAAAGATTGTTCGGTTTGGTTTTGTTTATTCCTACATCACCTGACAACACCTGGTCACGTCACCTGTCACACATTTCTGCTGTGGCACCAGGTACAGAACATGTCACAGGCATCACCTATGCCTGGAAGTGGTCTAGTTAGGCCTCCCCTATGGCATGCAACAATAAGTCCTCTTTCCTAAGCAGCCACTTTCAGGCACTGCAGAAAAGAAAAGAAGAAGCGGTGGGTGAAAAAAAAAATGGGGAAAAAAAACAGAAAAGGTCGACAATGTTATTGCCACCCTTTTGTAATGATTATTAGCATTGGGTGCCCAGTTCCATGTCCTTGGGGGGCAGTTTCAGTCCCAGGGAGGAGGTTCCCAGCGGGTCGATCATGTTCCTGTACCGATCGCCGCGGTGCTTGGCCAGGAAGGGGCCCCAGTCGGGCTGGGGGGAGCACACCAGCTTCAGCCTCTGCACGGGGAGAGAAAAGAGAGTCAGAGTCAGAAAAGAGAGTCAGCCACAGAGCACAATCACCACCAGAGCTGTGAGAACCCCGGGCTTGGTCTGGAGTCTCATGTGGTGGAAAAGTCTCTCCTCCAACCCATGCTTCTGAAGAAAAATTCCACAGCCTCTTGTTGTTCAATCTCAAGGCAGTTCATTGCAAGTTATCTAAAAGATTTTCTTCTCTGGCTGCTGTGGTTTGCTCAGAGCTCAGGCAGAGGCACACACACACCCTGACATCTTCTCTGACTCCTGACTGCTTCTTCTCTCCCCGCCCAGGGCTGCTGCTGTCTTTTATATGGGACATTACGTGTTACATGGTTACAGTTTTTTCCCAATGTCTATTGCCTATATTAAATGGTGATTTTCTACTCTAAACCAATCCATAAGTGCCAACATCACCAAGAACATGGAGGCAAGGAAGAAGAAGGAGAAAGAACAGGATCAGCCCACTTTCCTCCATCTTTGAACTTCTGACCCCCATGTACAAAGTAAAAACCCCCCTGGACAGGTGCTAAAACACTCCTGTACAATACTAAAAAATTTCCCCTCTACTTTGTAATTACTTTTACTATACTATCTAACCCTTTGTGACTGCCTGTTCCACCTCCAAAGTTGGTAACTCATTCCATGGTTCAAACCCAAAATCACAACTGTTTCCAGCTGCCTGCCAGGGTCTCAAATGCTTCTGACCAAGGCCTGGAACCTCCAAAAATGTCTGAGAGACATTTTGAGTTCCAACACAGAGCAAGCAGGATAAACTCATTTAAGGTTATTGACGACAGCCTGGCAGTGCTCTACTGCTCAGCGTTTGTTTTGCACAAAGTTTTCAAGATTAATAGGGGATCAAGTGCCCAGGTTTTAATTATACATTCTCCCCCACAACATGTGAGGGGAGCTCAGAACCACTGCTACAGACTGCGAGGCTCTCTTACTGAAGGACATGTGCACAATTACTTAGCCCAATGGTCTAAGCAGTGAGTAAGTGCATTAGAATAATTGGATTTATAGTTAGTGTATTTCCCTAAAGTATACAAATTACCAGAAGTAGTATATCACTATGAAAGATTTTAATTTTGAGATGACAAAATGTTGTTTTTATCTGCGGGAAAAAAGAAAGAGGAGAATGTCAACCTGGCAAACAACAGAAATTTTCTGATCTTTCCACTGAGTTCTTTATTGAATATATAATTTGATTGGTGCATTCACAGATAAAAAGGAAAGAAAACATATTTTTGATGACTTGAGAGGGAACAATTATATGTTTATTACCTAATAAAGTGAATCAGACCTCTATATCCGTTATTTTAGTCTCTGCTTAATTACTAGTTTGCAAATTTTACCTCCCAAATCAACCATAATAATTCTATGCAGCAGACTCAATATTGAGGAGATACCAGACTACAGCTGAAACATCTTGAGCAAAAGCCCTTTCAAAACAGATCCAACTCTTGGGTGTTTCTTTGGGTGCACACCTGGACACACACTAAGGGAAACACCCTATTTTTTTGACAATTTGTGTGCCAGTTTTAGACATGAGAAGTTTCGAAGCAGAACCATTTGTGCCAGTGAGAGGAGCTTATGAGACAAGACAAAGAAGGAATAAATCTAATTCTACATTAGGTCATTTCCAGCAGGGGCAGCTGTCTCCTGACCAGGCACTGCAGTCTGCTCCAGACAGGAGCTGAATGATCCCTTAGACAAGTGGCCTCGTTGTCTCCTGCTCGGATGCTCTCCCTAGGGTGTCCCACTGTGAAAATTCCTCTCCTACAAAATTCCTTTGCTCTGTGGGTAGCAGAGAAGCAGAGCCTCTTCCCTCAGGCGTGTGTAGTGTGACATATTGAGAGACCAAAAAGATTATGCTATTTTAGTACGTTTTCTCTCCTTTTCATTCTTTTGAAGCAAGAAACAGCCCCGGTGGGATTGCAGGGAAGCTGAACTGTAAAAGCAGTTACAGAAAGGGGAGCGGGTGTCTGGTCCTTCCCCAAGGTGGGAGCAGCACAGGCAGCAGGCAGTGATGAGAAGGCAGAACTGAGAAAGCCTCAGAGACCTAAAATAAGAGCACTGAGCTTCTCCAGAAAACAGCAAGGAAGGGATGAAATGCTGACATTGCTGATCCTGCCAGGGACTGAGGAGCCAGCAGGATGGGAACAGCCAGGGAGAGTGAGGTGA